CCGAGCCGAAGGTTGAGCCGCCGCCGACGGAGCCCGAGCGGGAGCGATACCAATGGACCGGCCAGCTCCGCGAGTGGGTCCACACGCCGCCCATGTGGCTCGGCGTGACGCCGGAGCAAGAGACGGTGTACCTCGAACAATGGAGGGTGCGCGCTGATAGAGGAGCACGCCGAGGGCGAGCGGCGGATGCAGGTGGAGCGCCGCTGGGCACGGGAGGAGGAGGAGGAGCGCGCCCGCCGCGGCATAGCAGTGCAGCCGACGCAGGAGGCGGCGCGGGCCTGGAAGGCAGCATTCCCCTTGGCTGGCCCGGCGCCAGCGTTGATCGACCTAATCGGCCCAGGGGAGGACGATGACACCTAGGATAGCGCGCGGGGAGGCACAATTTTTTTTTATGTTTTATTATATGCTTAAATGGACTTTGGGCGGCGATTGACTAGCGTTTAATGTTTAATTATGTTAAGTTTGAGCGTGTTTGTATTTTTTTAAGTCCATGTGCGAGAGATTATGCCGGGTCGGCATAGGTTGCATGCGTCGATCCAAACGAAAAAACGGAAACAACCCTCCAACTGACCAATTCAAACGGACAAAAGGCGAATGAAACTTGTATCCGTTTAAATCGCCGCGTTGGAGTTGCTCTTCGCAGACGATTAATCTAGTTAGATTACGCACCCTGCACTGCCTCAAGGACAACTCTCTGTTTCTTGAGGAACAAACCATTACGTTCCGGCATGCCCATGGGCGCCGCCGATGTTTAGGACCAGGTGCGGTGATCCGTTCGATTCAAGGAACAGAGGAGACACATCCTTTCGCAGACGGACGCAGCGAAACGTGGATGGAATACCCAGAACTATATAACAGTCAAAAAAGTCGTGCAAATATCACCCCTGAAAGTGAAACGTCAAGCAAGCACTTGAAAATCGCGAAACGCCGTCCATTTCTTCAGAAAGTGTCAGGCAGATACCGATAAATAGTTGGTATTATAAGGCAAACACAAATGGACCATACGTGTCTGCGCGCATATACAATATTAATTTGGATTAGCCCGTAAGCCATGGTGCGGCTCGACAAGCGCACGCTACCCTCTCCTTTCGTGATGACTGATGACCTTGCTGAGTCCCTCCACCTACGGTCGGTTGATCACAAGCAAAGGCTATATATACGCACACACACATTCATCCAAACATCATCACACAGCTAACCGTCAGAAGCAAATCCTGGCTGATACACGAACAAGCACATAATCATCCCAAGAACACACAGCTTCCTACATCACCTACGTACAGATTAGTCCGCGAGTTCAGTTTGCAGGGGCATCCAGCGACAGACATGGCGTCGGCTCCAGCTCGAGCTATTGCGGTGGTGGCTCTCATGTTCGCGTGCTCTGGGTTGGCCATGGCCGCGGACAAAGCACCGACATGGCTGAGGGCGCATGCCACGTTCTACGGCGGCGCTGATGCCTCCGACACCATGGGTACGTAACTAGCTTATCTCAAAATCCCTGTATAGGCCAATAGAACAGTGAATACCACATCTCGTTCTGCCTGTTCTGAAAGCATACGTACGCTCGATTCAACGCAGGTGGGGCGTGTGGATACGGCAACCTGTACTCGGCGGGCTACGGGACGCGGACGGCGGCGCTGAGCCAGGCGCTCTTCAACGACGGCGCGTCATGCGGTCAGTGCTACAAGATTGCTTGTGACCGCAAGCTTGCGGACCCGATGTTCTGCAAACCCGGTGTCACCGTGACAATCACGGCCACGAACCTCTGCCCGCCTAACTATGCACTCCCGAGTGACAATGGAGGATGGTGCAATCCTCCGAGACCGCACTTCGACATGGCGCAGCCGGCCTGGGAGAAGATTGGTGTCTACAAGGGTGGCATCATCCCTGTCATGTACCAGAGGTAGCTACAGATGAGTATTTACCACTGCTATGTGCCTGTCTGCAAGTTACTAAAACCAATTTTTGCAGGGTTCCATGCGTGAAGAAGGGTGGGGTGCGGTTCAAGATTGCTGGTCACGATTATTTTAACCTAGTTAACGTGTTCAACGTCGCAGCTGACGGCTCGATCAAATCCATGGATGTCAAGAGCTCTGACTCAGACACATGGGCGCCAATGACTCGTAACTGGGGCGCGAACTGGCAATCTCTAGCTAATCTTACCGGGAAGATGCTCTCATTCAGATTGACCAGCACGGATGGGCGGACGCTTGTGTTTAACAATATTGTGCCGGCTGGATGGACATTTGGGCAAACATTTGCGAGCAAATTACAGTTTTAATTGAACACTCTCGACAGAACAATCTAGTAATGGTTGTTTTTTTTCTAAATTTATTTATTTCTGGTGTGGTGCTTAAAAATACTCTATATTAATTTAAGCACTACTTGTATGGATACATCCATTGGTTGGTCACCACACGTAACATTGTAACTCCAACATCCTTGTATGTAGTATGTGTTTAACTTGTTGTACTCATAGTTGTGCTTATATTAATTTGGCTGGTGCATATAAAACACGTCTGGTTCTACGGAGTTACCTCGAATGTTTATTTTATCGGTTTGGTTGTACCTCTACCTTCGGTGACTAACAAATAACTGAACTAATTAATTTTAAGATAACAATAAGAAGCATTTTAGCTTAACATTGAGATTCATGTAAGTGCAAAAGCAGAGAATTCGACATCTAACGGCTCAACTAAGAAATGACTATTTGAAATCGGCCGAGAAATAGTTCTCTTACAACTGACAATATATAGCATGGGTCGCCTACTTTCTTCTTCAAGGCATCGCCTTGGAAGCACTGACTATTTGGTGTCGGTCGTAGTATTCTTGGTGTGCATGAACGGGTGTTTGGGGTCAACATTGTTGTCAGTGGCGGAGACAAGGGGGGGCGAGCAGGGGCCTGGCCCCCCCTATCGATCGAGCAAACATCGAGTAGGCCATAGATAATTAGCGATATGATTCAAGTACAGAAGTAATTGGCCCCCCCTAACTCAACGTGATTTATGAAGAAAGGAAAAAGGGCCAATGTAAAAGCCCACTAGCAATCGTTTACAAGCCCATGACAAGGCCATATCTGTTGATCGGCCTTCGTTAAAAGTCTCCTGGACGCTGGGCATTATTCCCGATGATGATTAGCGCGTGTGTTGATTAGCGTTGCGCTGTTGCCGTCCTGCGCCCTCGCCGCCGCCCGCCTTGGCTCTCCCTTCTCACGATCTGATTCGTAAAGTCAAGCTAATTCACTCGTCAATTATTTGTCCTGCAGCCAATGATCTAGCCAAGGTTAATCCAGTACTGTCTACTTCTCTGAATTCTCATCTTGTATCATTAATTTGTTATACATCAGATGTGTGATTTGTGATGCGTCGCGCTCGGGCACATGCAATCGTTCGAAATCATGCACCTTCCAACCACGACCAGCCGGTCTACCTCGACCTAGCAGTAGAGGGGATGAGTACAGGTTGGGTTTGATTCTCTATGTATGTATTCATGTAATATTGACCTTTTTTTCAATACAACAACAAAGTTACATAATAGAACCAGTGATGATTTTCCACTCAAACCTATTATTCGGTTATACAGTGATTTTTCTTATTTGTACATATGACATGTAGCATTTCATGCCATATTTCGGAGTAGTTTGATTATCAACTTTGTCTAGTCTGCTTCAGCCACAAAAGGTTGTGTGTGTCTATGCAAAGTTAAAATGAATGATACTAGTCCCTTCGGGGACATCCGAGAAAGATGAATGATACTCGGATGTAAAACTATTAGGTAGTTTGTGAGGCAAAAAAACTGGCTTTATCGTCGGTCTGCCCCCCCTATGTCTAAATCCTGGCTCCGCCCCTGATTGTTGTGACCTGCTTGGGTCCAGTGTGTCAACAACAAGTAGCATGGGTTCGATCAGCGTGCCGGCAGCACAGAACATTTGTGCTTGTCGTCCTCTTTGTAACGGAGTGGTCTAGGTCCACCTCCTATAAGACCTAGCTTCCCACTCTAGTGTCGGTGGGGATGGCAATCACAATTGTGGTGTGTCGATGATAAGTTAAATCCCGTATCAACCTATCTGCATTTGCTGCCAAGACGAACCCCGAGAGCTCGAGACATCCCAGTGACACCAAAAGGTTCGCCACCACCTTGGAAGGAGGGATACCACCATACAACATATCAGAAAAAGGGAGGAGTCTACGAATAAGGAAGAAAGACCCTACATGCATCCTAAAAAGACGTAAGGGCAAGACTCCAAGCCCTATATGCCCTATGCACCCACATGGAAGCCTCCCACAAGTAGTTCTATATAAGGGCACCAGGGACATCATAAAGGGTGACCTTCTCCTGCACCATTGTAGTCTAGACCACCTAGAAAGGATTTCACACTTATCGCCTGAATCTCCGCCGTGTCATTTCGTCGAGATACTCTGTCTCATTGATATCCCCCTCCCTCCCCCCTCCCCCGACATTGTAATCTTTTCTATTCTCCACATCTTCTATATCTAAATAGCTAGCCCTCACTAACATATTTCTCTCAATATGCAACCATGTCACCTCATTATTTAACATGCATGGAAAAAGGCCCACCCCAACATACATCTATGCATAATAAAAATCCACCTCAACATGCAAACATGCATGCACTGAAAATTCCATCCTATCATGCTATTTACATTTAATTCTTATATTAGTTCAAAAACTATTATTTTAAATATTCATGTTTCATATCTTCTATATCTAAATAGCTAGCCCCACTAATATATTTCTCTCAACATGCAAGCATGCCCCTCATCATTTAACATGCATGAAAAAAGGCCAACCTCAACATACAAGTATGCATAATAAAAATCCACCTCAACATGCAAGCATGCATGCATTGAAAATTCCATCCTGTCATGCTATTTACATTTAATTATTATATTAGTTCACAAACTATTATTTTAAATATTCATGTTTCATATAACCAAAACATCATTGAAATATTGCAAAATATTTCCGCAACAACGTGCGGGGCATCATCTAGTATATAAGAATAGAGCAAGGCAGGAAGTAGGAATTTTACCCACATCAAGGGCCTAAACCTGGGTATATCGTGTGTTCGTGTCCAAAGACCCCCCTGGTCTCTTAACGTGACGCCCCCTCGACTTAAAAATTCGCATACCCCCTGCTTCTCAGTTGCATCTTTTACTTTAGGACTCGAATAACCACCAAACGTCATATTTGGAACGACGACAACGCGAATAAGCGGCTCCCTCGAGACACTCCCACACGCGAACAGTAAATCCCCCGCGTCAACCCAAAGGCATACATGCCCTTTGATAGGCCTCCTGGCCCAATCACCAATCCCATGTGCAAGAAAAAAATGAAAAGTAAAAAAGATTTCCCATGATGTAGGTAAAAAAGACCATATTAAAAAAAATCATCTTGTACACAACAAAATTTGCCAAAGTTATAAAGCATAAATTCAGCATACTTGATAGGAAAAAAACATTATAATTTTTTTAAACCAAAAATGAGAAAAATATATTAAGTTTTGTTTTGGATAAATCATGGCGAATTCTTGAAATATTTGTAGTGCACATGGAAAATTCTGCATTCAAAAAAAATTGTGTGCTTATGAGAAGGATTTTTTATGTGTCAATAAATCTGATTCTATATTAATTTACAATGGTTTGAAAAATAAAAATTGCCATGGTAGGTCCAATAAAAATTGACATGGTACAAAAAATAATAAACATTTAAAAAAATTGTCATGGCCTACAAAATGAATTTACCATGGTTTGTTCAACAAGGGGGTACATAAAGGAATTTACCAAAGTTTGTTCAACAAAATTGTCATGTTCCAAATAATGGATAAAATTGCCATGGTCTAACAAATAAAATTGGCATGGTGCAAATTTTATTGTCAAGGTTTAAGTTAAATTTTGGATTGGTCCAAAATATAAAAAGTGCAATGGTAAAAATAAAACTTCCACGGTCCCAACATGTTTGCAATGATCCATAAACTAAACTGCCACGATCTATAAATTAAATTTGACCATGGAACCTAAACTAAATTTGCCATTAGTGGAATAAATATGTGTACGTTCGCCATGATGGTACATAAAGGAATTTACCAAAGTTTGTTCAACAAAATTGTCTTGTTCCAAAATAATGGATAAATTTTGCCAGGGTCTAACAAATAAAATTGGCATGGTGCAAATTTTATTGTCAAGGTTTAAGTTAAATTTTGAATTGGTCCAAAATATAAAAATTGCAATGGTAAAAATAAAACTGCCACGATCCCAACATGTTTGCAATGATCCATAAACTAAACTGCCATGATCTATAAATTAAATTTGACCATGAAACCTAAAGTAAATTTGCCATTAGTGGAATAAATATGTGTAAGTTCGCCATGATGGCAAACAATTAAATCCGTCATATTGAATTGATCATGACAAAACACAACTTGGAAACCCTGTTATGTATTAAAAAAAAGTGGGACCTAAGGAGACAGAAGCTATTGGCAAAAAGGAGTTAATTAGCCATGCTGTTTTGTAAGACAATAAATATCATGGCAAGAATAACTATGTAGATCATGACAACCGTGACACATATGCCAAGCTATGTGAAAAAGAAAGATTTTTCCCTAGAATGTTAGACAGATTTGGCGTGGTCTATATAATAGATTTGCCACTAGTTTGACCTTGTTGTTTGTGCCTAAGTTAACAAAAATTACCGACCTAATGTATTGCCCATGGCAAAAACACGCATACACACGCGCGTGCGCGCGCGCGCGCACACACACACATTCCACTCTCTCCCTATCCTCCTAGTGTGAGTGGGGTGTGTGTGGCAGTGGCGGTGGGAGACGAGATAGGGAGAGTGGTGAGGGATCGCAAAGTCTCTTTTACCGGTTCCTGGAGGTACCAACAAACCATCCACCGTTACTCTGGTTTGCGATTCGTGCGTTCACGTGGCTCACTTCTCGTATAACACTAGTATTTTCATAACCCATCTCTCGTATAGCACCGTTGGATGTCAGATGGCTGGTCCACCTATTTTCACCACTTTGCACTAGTATGTCAGCTACAGGTACTACTTTTGCCAGTGCATTGTACGCATGCATGCAACTTCTTTCCTCTCTCTGCCCTTCCAAACAAATGCATCTTTTTATTTTTGCTTACAATTTTAGATGGTCACTATCTTTCATATTAGAAATCCGTTATTGAAATTTTTTATATATTCAAATTCCTTGCAACATGATCTTCAGAACAAGTTCAAACTTGAATATTTTTCAACTAGATT